TTTTTGCACTTTCAGGCATGCTCTGCTGGCACTTTAACGTGAGTTCTGGACTCAATTAGAGTTTTAGGTTGTAGGTCTGATTTAAGTCTGTAAGAAACTAGAGAGTTCTAGGGATTGGAACCGTTCTAGCCCTGTGCAATATCATTTGAAGTGCTGAAATTGATAAATTTCGATTTTTTGCACTTTCAGACATGCTCTGCTGGCACATTAAAGGGAGTTCTGGACTCGATTAGAGTTTCAAATCGTAGTTCTGATACGACTCTGTGAGAAACAAAAGAATTCTAGGGATTGGGCCAGTTGTAGCCCTTTACAATATCATTTGAAGTGCTGAAATTGGTATGCTGGATTTTTTTTTTCAATTGAATTTTTTAAGGTTAAATCGCCAGAACTATTTCTAAAAATTATCAGGAACTGTAGAACTAACTTATATGTAGTAAGAACTGACGTTTATTTATGATCTGCTAGAAATTGATCTGCTGCCGGAAGTTGGCAGATCATTTTTTTAATTGTCTTTTTTTAAGGTAAAAACGCCGGAACTATTTCTAAAAGGTGTCAGGAACTATAGAACTCAGCTGCATGCAATGAGAACTCTCATTTATTTTTGATCTGCTGGACAATGATCAGCTAAGTTCACTGACATGTAAGAATTTGCTCGACCCGCCAGTCGCACTTGTGACCACTCGGCCAACGGGTAGTCCTTTTTTTAAATATTAATTATTTCTATTTAATTTTTATATTTCAATATTAATTAATTATAAATAAATACCTAATGAAAACGTAGCTCAGTCGCCAAAAGCTATTTGTATAAAACGATGTTTTATATTGTATTTGTATTTGTATAAAACGATGTTTTGTATTGTATTTGTATAAATAGTGATAGTACTATCTGCCTATTTATAACGTATCTTAGGAAAAGGCTAATTAATTATGAATAACCTCAAAACCTTTCGAACTGTTCCTTGAATGCTTGCAAAATATGCATTCTTGTTAATAATAATATGAATTTACTTCACTTGCTCATGCATACTCATACACTATTCTAACATAATGGTCTGTAAATATCGATTGAATATTGGTCTTCGTTCATATACGTATTAAGCTTAACTAATCAGATGATAATGAGTTGATCGCATTTTAATGTAATTTTAATTCAAATCTAACATAGCGTTGGTTTTTAGAAAATTCAACTGTGTACCTATGTTTTTTGCCATATATAGTGGGTGCCTACAAACACATAAATTCATTCGAACATCGTTCTCAAAATCGAAACAACAACCTGTTTAGTTAAAAGTTGTTCCGTATGGGAATCGAATTCACGACACCTTGCACAACAGCCACTTTTTCAGTCACTGCCCTGTCACTGTCTGTATATTAGCCGATCACAGCTAATAAACAGACTCCTAAATGGTGTCTGCATATTAGCTGTGATCTGCTAATATTTCAATTAGATCGTAATGCATACTACATCTTGATATTATGTATTTGTACCTATAAGCCCTTAACGTATGGAATGATGTATAAAATACAAAAAGAATGAAGTAAATTCCTTACGTGCATACAATGCAATAAATTCCAAGGTTTCGAGTGGTATGTAAATGTCAGATGCATTAGGTATATCAATGCAATGCAGGCTTACTTTGTAATACACTCTTGATAAAACAAAAACTCCATGTTTTGCAACCTGTTTATGAATACTAGAGAAGGGCTGAATTGTACAAAATTCATACACAGAGTTTTTTTTATTTTTATGGTATAAGCCGGTAAACGAGCATACGGATCACCTGATGGTAAGCAATCGGCGTCGCCCATGGACACCTGGAACACCAGAGGCGTTACAAGTGCGTTACCGGCCTTTTGGGGATTAGGAGTTTGAGGATCGTTGGGGATTCAGGAATTAGGGAGATTGGGGAAGGAGAGGGTAATTGGGCCTCCGGTAACCCCACTCACACGACGAAAGACAACGCAAGCGTTGCTTCACGTTGGTTTTATGTGAGGCCGTGGTATCACTCTGGTCGAGCCGGCCCATTCGTGCCGAAGCATGGCTCTCCCATACTTATAAAGTTTTGAATTTTTTATAAATGAAAAACGTTCAAATTTTCAATTTTCTTACAACATTGCCAATAAAACTGAAATTACGCTATAACCACAAACATTTGTTATTATTTCATTTGTGAAGTATTTTTTTAAGTAATAAATGTTGATATTAAGTTAAATCACTAACTTTCATCAGCTTAAAATTATATCTGCAATTGCTAATGAAAGTAAATATGAACTGTCTTAAAATAAACTTTCAATGCAAAATGCATTAAATAAAAAGGTAATTTAAGTTTATTGACCTTTAAAATGTTCAATAACTGTCTATTAGGAAATAATAAATCTCAAGTAGTTATCAATACGGATATTATTGATTACTTCCTATTATTGGTTATCGTCTAATGTATCTGGTTATATAATTGCGAGTTCGGTATATTAAGTTGAAGGCTGTATCATGGCCATTATTGAGTCATTTGTTTTAGCACTGATTTGGATGAAGAACTGTTTGTAGTTAATGAAGCTTCTAGAATGTACTCGAAATATTTTTAAACAAAGTAGCATTTATAATAATTATGATCAGATGCCGAGAATATAATTCTTTTGATCAGATGATGTGAAGTGATTTTAGGTGATGTAAATTGTTATAATATTATTTTGTTAAATACATACATATATAACATCACACCTTTTATACCCGAAGAGGTAGGCAGAGGTGCACACTACAGCACTTAATGCCACTGTACAATGTAACACCCACTTTTCGCTATTAATGTTAAGAGTCCCATGTAATAGCGCGTGAGTCTATTATCATATACCAGGCACAATTCCAGTCTCCGTGCTACAACTGAGATTTAAAAAAATCCAGTAATACTTTGCTCGTCCCGGGCATCGAACCCGAGACCTCTTACCCAGCAGTCACACTTGCGACCACTCGGCCATTGAAGCAGTTTTGTTAAACTTAAAACAAATTATTAATCGTCTCTAGACTGGAAACAGTAATAGGATGAGAGACTAGAAGAACATAATTAAATTATTACTGCTTGTATTTGTCAGATATCTTTCGTGCTGTGCGCTGTGTTGGCGCTGGCAGCGATGTCTGCAGCCAAGCCTGATGATGGAGAGACCGTCACTGTACCTGGACCTGGGTTATCATACGGTAAGCATTACTGGATTTAATACGTTCTTAAGTAACTTATGTATTCTGGATTACATAAGTTAATAGATAGTTATTTTTTAGACAAATATGATAGAGGTTTAAAATCCGTGTGATAGAATAATTTTTATTGCACTGTAAGCTACCGCCAACCTTGCAGCAGGTTCGATATCATCACAAAGAAATTCTTTGGATGAGCTACACATTATTGTACTGGGTCTGGGTATGTGTTAGTAAATGCATCTTTGATACAGGAAAAAATGCTAGTGGAAGCCAAGGTGACGATGAAATAAAAATAACAGCAAGTAAACGATACCTAACAAAACAAACAGATTAGTTGCGGTACTTTTATTACGAGATTTCCAATTTATGCATGAATTACGAAAATGTATTACCTACAGTTTTTGCCTTCGTTTTGATTTATTCTAACATTAAGTAATTGTTGAGTTCTTCTAAGATCCCAGTTAATGAGTATTGACCTCTGATTGCTCAACATCACATGATCGCGGACAAAACGTTTTGTGACACAATCATAAAATATTTCGAATAAATAATCTGGAACCTTGAGTAAAAATTTGAACAAAAATACGTAGTATATTGGAGCTCCGTTATCAACCGATACTTACATTTTCTTATGCAAGAATACAAATTACAAATATATTTTTAAAATTGAAATTATATTATCACAAGTAAACCAGAAACCTAAATATATAGACACACAGTGTATATATGTATATATATTTAGGTTTTATTACATTGGATTACACATTTTTTATATTTATTTCATATTTTTTATTTGTGTAACCCAAGTGCATCGAAGCACGTTAAGGAAAATTGTATTATTTTTATTATAAATATTTATGATTAGACTTATATACGCCGATAGTTTCATAGATTCATACTTCATCATCATCAGCCTGTATTCGTCCACTGCTGGACATAGGCCTCTCCTATGGCACGCCACTGAGCTCGGTCTTCAGCCATTCATACATAATCTGATGATAATTCATGTAATATTTATGTATCATGTGACTTTACATTCATAACCTTAAAAATATTAATTAATGTAACGATGACTTTCTACATACCGATTTATTTTTAAATTTAAGATAAAAATTCTAGATGTCGAGGTCACTAATTGATAGCAGAATAAATATTAATTAATATGTCAAAATCAAAATGACTTATAATTTTCTATATATTTTTTCAGGAGGCATACCATACGGCAGTATGAGCGGCAACGTAGCAGAGTTCTTCAGAAGGCAGGCGTCATCTGGTGGCCGATCGGCGTACCTTAATGGCCCTCATGGCAACAGCGTTGATTACGCGCCTATTGAACAATACTTAAGATAGATGTCGCTAGTAGTATGTTAAGTAAAACTTAGTTTTAAAATGTGTAATTAAGTGCGTACGTCAATATTTGTCATTAAAAACGAGTTCTGAATTGTAGAATATTTTCAAGTATTTTTTTAATAATTTTTCGAAATCATATCTTTGGTTTCGAGTGTACAAAAAAATCAATTAGCTAAGTCAAAAGCCATAATATATTTAGTTTTAAACGAGATAGCCCACTGGTATGGTATTATTTAAGATAGTATTAATAAATGCCATTAATTTATTTAATGAAATCTAAAACTGTCTTTTCATTTCTGTTTCTATCATTACATAAGCACATAATATGTATCCCTTTTCTTTTGCCTTATAAAACAACTGATTTTATTTATTCTTTTAAATAAGACAGTCAAAACCATCTTAAATGAAAGAGGAAGGAGGAAAGTGACAAAAACTAATTTATGGTTTGATTTGCAAGAAACTATGGGATATAGAATGAAAGCAATTATACATGAGTCTTTTAATTACTATGTATGTACCTGGATAAAACAGTACCTAAATGATTATATAAAAATAAAACTAAAACTATGTAAGTATCACAAATTAAATTGATACAATGCTACTACATGTAACATAATTATAATGTTCTATGACAAAAACATCGCGTTGAACACAGAACATACATACATACAAGTAAATTACTTGACATTATTGTTTTATCAACTTACTTCCCACGGATAATGGCTATTGTTTGTTTAAAGTTACTGTTTTTGTCAACTCTAGAGCCGATATTTCCTATGTATCTTGATGTACTTCTGTGTTGTACATACATAGATACTACTGAAAACACGAAAAGGCTTTACCTAAACCTGGCAATCAAATCTCAGAACCCCTGATCGGTAGTCATTGGTATCTGCAATCACTATCAACGAAACAGTCAAAATCTAAATCTTCTTAAGGTCTAAATCTTAAGTGAATAAATTCTACATTATCAATACAAGAAAAGTTTGTACCTATTACAGGCTAAGTAACGATATCAAAAGCAATTACACTTCACCAATAACAATACAGATGTATTGAATGACCGATTTTGCTACTCTTGGATTAGCTCAAGGTCTTACTGTCCGATACGGAGCCGCGGAGGACTTAACGGATTGTCGGGCTCCGGCACTAAGTGCAGGAGTATACACGTGGTAGATTTTAGTCAGTAAGAGTCTGACACTTCCTCTCACCTTACCCGGGCGGGAGAAGTCTATAGATGATTTTCCCCCTAATAAAAAGGCCATGTTGTCAACACACGCAACACAGATGGCACTGGGTCAGCCGCCACGCGTCACAGCGTCATACTATGACATTATATTACCTCACTATGACATTACACTAGCCCACTAAACATTACATTAGCCCACTATAACATATATTAGTGAGCGCTTATTATTGAAATTGGGTCGGTTATGAAGGTGAGGCGCAAAGTTGGTGTAAAGAAGGGTTTTTGATCATTTGTAGTGAACAATTTCCTTCGTATTGCATTGGTTTTCAGAGTGCTACATAATTTCGTCGGTAAGTACTTTTGGCATAGGCAGGGGGCCTATTTTCATAATATCTGTGAATCTCGGAGTGAAGTGGTCTAGGATAATTTTAGGAAGCACACGATAAGACAAGAAAATTTATTTTGTCACCAAAATATTAAATAAGTACTAGTCATTTTCTTCAACCGTCTTTTACGAGATTGGTATGCTTATCAGGTAAAAATACAAGTAAATGCAATAAACAATTTATGGGCATATTATTATAAACGTTGTATAATTTACGTCAAATATTACAGTGGCGTTACATTCACCAAAACCACAATTGTGGGAATCGATTCCTGGCACCTGTCCAGTCGTATTTATAGACTCTTTACTGAGAAACGACTCTGTACAAATTAGGTATTGTTCTACAAAGATTTACCTCAAGAGAATAAAAGTAAATAGGTGTAGTAAAATGAATTTTAATATCTGAGATAATAAAATTTAACCTATCACAATATAATGCACTCATAAGAAAACTAAAAATATTGTAAAAATTTATTCAGACTAAAACTATTAACTCCAAAATTGGTAAAGAATGCAAGCCGTGTATATTTGGAACTGAAAATCGAAAAACACTTGCACGAGCAGACGGATCACCTGACACCTAAAACACCAAGGCGTTACAAGTGCATTACCGGCCTTTTGGTAATTGGGAATTTGAGGATTGTGGAGGTTTCGGGCATTGGGGAGATTGGGAAAGGCGTTGTTTCACGTCGGTTTTCTTTAAGGCCGTGGTATCACTCTGGTTGAGCCGGCCCATTCGTGCCGAAGCATGGCTCTCCCACACTTAAAATCTTTGAACCTAAGAACCAAATTAAAAACCCTCAAGTCCAGCAATCAATCTAATCACCACACGATCAGCGAACCAGTCAAATAATTAATTAGTTACGTAAAAAACAAAGTACTTTAATAAACCAGTAACCTGTGTACCAGTGTGACATAAACAGATTTCGCGGCCACCGTAAAACAATTGACGATGACCAACAGGTTCGATTCATGATCAGACATGGCCATCGAATGATTGTGTCTTACCATTATTTATTTACTTTACAAAAGGCTTTTTATATTGTAGTCTGTGGTGTAGTATATGGTGGATTAAGAGGTCTTTCATGTATAAGAGCAGAAATTTTCCTCAAGATCTCTTCAAGGAAAATAGGGATCATAGGGTCTGAAGTTAAAGTTCGATTGGTTCATAGTTTTTAGTTCCAATCATTTTGATCTATGGTGGATCTTTGAAATTTCTGTCAAACTTCTAAGACGTGTATAGCGTTCGAAATGGTGTAACAGTAATTTGTATAACATTATCGATCCCCAATAGGTCACCGGTGATCGCTCTCCACACACTCCATTCTAGACCTTATTTCCGATGTTTATACACTACTTTTGTATGAAAAAATTTTAGATATTTTCGGTACCTACGATACCAAGTGTTTAAAATACAAGATTTGAGATATCGAGATATAAACATAAACAGATGCTCGGAAATAACTTCTGATGAACCCTACAGTAGTGGATATGTTTCTTTCTTTATTTAAACAAGAGTATATTTTTTATTTGTTTCTTGTATAGAAGCACTATTTTATATGGATTGTCAGTATACATATGTCAGACTTAAGATATTTGTTTTCTCTTGGATTTGTTTTTTTTTTTTCTATTTTAGTATGTTCTGTTATTTGTATGTTGCTTCAGGTATGTCTTTACATTATTCTCACATGTGTGTACAATATTGGAATATGTATCAGAGCAATGTGAAACATACTTTTTTAAAAGAGTAACGAATGGAGTTTCTTGCTCGTTCTTCTCCACTCGAATCGACATTTTGGAACGAGCGCCTAGCTTCACTGACGGACAGACTGACAGACTATTATATATCTCATATTTGTTGACGTTTCAAAAGTACCAAATTATGGTTTAATTGAAATAAATGCTTTTGAGTTTGAGTTTGAGTTTGACTTCATATTATTGTACGGGTTTTTTAAGATAAATAAAAAAAACTCATAATACTCACAAACGTTGCATCTAATGTAAACTACACTTCTTTTTTTGCTAAATTTTTCATGTTCATGAGCACATACCAGGGCTCCTTCTTTTTTGCACCGTTTAAGCCACTAATTGACAACTAGATGGATGGTGCTAGCTGGCCACTTTGTATACAGCTAAAGTCCGCAATCAGACGATACATGCTATGCGTAGTAATTATCTCATTATGAAGTTGTAGACTGCGGGAATACCTGAGTTTTGAAGTTAACGATAGTAATTGTAGTAGACTGATAGAATGTACTTAAGTTGTAGTAACACCTGGTAAATAAAAGTCGTTAAAATCGGATCATCCGTTAGGGTGCCCCGATTCCACAGATAGACACGTACACATTTACACGGACACGTCAAACTTATAACACACCGTCTTTTTGCGTCGGGAATTACAAATTATAATAATATATTATTTGTGAATTTAGACAATTGTTTCATTATAGTTTAAATACGCAAACTATTAATGATTTGTTGAAAGTATTTTACGTGTTTTTTGAAATAAAATTGTAGACTGATGCCTGGCCTTTTTTAACTCGTCGAGTACCGGTTTTGTAGACACAATTATAGAACAATAGGTTGCAGTCACCGGTGACCGCTTGGTGTTTGACAGTTTAACCGATATTTTCTTAAGCAGAATGCCTACTGATCAATAAAATGCGTCACTTACGTAGTACGATATATCATAAAATAAGCGTCATAACAAAATATATCAAAATAAAAGTAATTATATTGACTATACAGTTATGTCTCAGCACAGGTGCGCGAACCTCTCAAACCTATATACCTTGCTACCACTACCTTTTTTAGTAACCATATCCGCTGAACTATTGGCATAAAAAACTATCTTCTCACAATAAAAAAGGCATTCCATTAAGAACACTACCTGACATGAATGTCAACATGTAACATGAATGAATGTTGTGACGTCACGACATTGTAAGGGACTCTGGATTTTTAAAGTCTATGACTTGAATACACAAATAACTCGTCCAATAATATTTTCATTCGGCAATGTTGTGATGAATGTAAAATAAAAAAAAGTTTGCGAAATCATTGTTTTGGTAAAGTACTGTAAAGTTTTATTGTGGCTCTGGTTGACATACATAGTTTTTATGTGAATTGTATAAATTAACTTTACAGTCAAGGACCATTCATGCGGATCTCATGGACACAAATGACTCGAAAATTACCCCCGAATATTGAAATGCTACTCAATTTTAAATTGTAGGTCATTTTACAAAGTATTTATAGTAACAGACTGTTTTAATATTGAGTGGCGTTTGAATAATAGACCATTGGTAATTTGACGTACTAACAACACATGAGGATCAAAATAGTTAAAAATGAAACGTTTCTACACCTAATAGATCTTAAGATCGGTGAGAAAGAAGTTGCGTGACGATGCAATTACTCAAAGATCCAGGAAACAGATACAAATGGGTGCCAGGTACTACACAATATAAACTTTACTGCTGTTACTAAAATCAAGTGACATTTCATCCAGTCCATATTTGATCAGAATGTCAACAGTACATGTCCACTATCACAGTACACATCACGACATCCCCTTTTCACGTCGCATACATCAAAGTTCTGGTTTTTACTGAATTAAAAACATAACTCATTTCGCATTCAAACTACATACACTTGGTATTTCGTTCCTATGTGACGTAGTTGGCAAATGTT